AGCCCGATGCGGGACTCGATCCCGGGACTCCAGGATCATGACCTGAGCCGAAGGCAGTCGCTTAACCAACTGAGCCACCCAGGCGCCCTCCCTCAGCTCTTGGAAGAGGCTCGCTGAGCCTCAGTTCTGTCCCATCCCTCACATGAGGGGCTGAACTAGTTGCCCTCTCGGATCCTTCCAAGTGTGTCCTGCTTTTCCGGTGCCAAGGTCTGCAGTAGCTGCTCTGAGCTCCTGGGGCTTCTGACCTAACCACACGAATCCTTAGCCACATTAGGGCCACGATGAAATGAACCAACAAATGCTATGGAGCAGCTGCTGTGGGTGAGGGCCCCCAACACCACTGGCGGCCAAGGAGTCCCCTCCACAGCCTTCTAGAAATAAAGATGACTTTATTTTCAAAATATCTCTCACTTCTTTTCCAATAAAATGCAGGCAGGAAGGAATGGGATTGGATTTATACACCGAGTCAGGCTACCATCGGACAAAGAAGGCCAGTCAGTAAATCCAGAGTCCGTCTGTCTGTCTAACTCTGACTTTCATCCACTACCTTTCTACTTCACCCCAACACGTGTCCCCATTTATCTGCGGTCTGTCTCCTTTTATGCTCTGCTAAGGAGGCTTTAAACAATCGTGGAGAACCAATGTATCTTTCCGTCTGCATTAATCAGACAAAAGGTAGAGGTTGTCTAAGATTAAAAGTGTCTAATATCTAAGTTTTATTATCCCCCCCCCACCTTTTGTATTTCGATCTTAGGACTTCAAGGACAGAAAGGAACAAAAGGAGAATCAGGAGTTCCAGGTAAAGGGCTGGCTTCATTTAAATTTCTCAGAATGATGTGTGGAAAGCCTCGTGCTTGGAGGCAGGTCTTGTTGACTTTGAACGTGCTGCTGTCACCTTCCCCCAAAGCGGCCGGGGCCCAAGCCTGTTTGCGGCTAGGACTCCTGTCCTCTGTCCCTCAAGCCTCAGATTCTTCCCCTGGAAAACCTGGAGAGGGACAGAACTCAGGGCCCTGAGGCAGGGGAGAGAGGGGCTGAGCTGAGGGTGGGGAAGGGGGAAGAAGGGGCTGGAGAGCTGGTGATCAGCTGGTGGCTTCAGGCCGTGCAGCCTCCGTGGAGCTGGGCAGTCTTCCTCTCCAGGCCCCAGGCTGCAAGGCCTCTATCTGCTTCCCCATGTCTGTGTTGGTCCATCTCCGTCTTCGTCGGTCCCCTGAAGCTTCTCCCGTCCTCCTCCTGCTGCTGGCCCCTGGCCTGTTACGATCACCTCAGTTTTCCAAGCCCCTGCCTGTGGTCCATCCCTGAGCGCAGCACTTCCCACAGAGCAATTCTAGTCTTCTCCACAGCCCCGCCCTGATGCGTGCCAACACGAAACTTCTCAGACACATTTCTTGAACTGTCTTTCTTCCTCCTGAGTTGGATATTTGGTTCCTATTTGAACTTACTAAAGGAGATCTCGGAGGCCTAGAAACATTCTAGCAAGTTCTCCCAGAATGGCCAGAACTTCCACACAATTAGGTGGTCTGATGAGGACCGACAACCTCTGGAATCAGCCGTTTTGACCTGTGTAGCACTCATGTGAGAGTCAGTGGGGACAGTTCAAGACAGTTCAAGAAATGTGTCTGAGAAGTTTCGCGTTGGCACGCATCAGGGCGGGGCTGTGGAGAAGACTAGGATTGCTCTGTGGGAAGTGCTGCGCTCAGGGATGGACCACAGGCAGGGGCTTGGAAAACTGAGGTGATCGTAACAGGCCAGGGGCCAGCAGCAGGAAGAGGACGGGAGAAGCTTCAGGGGACCGACGAAGACGGAGATGGACCAACACAGACATGGGGAAGCAGATAGAGGCCTTGCAGCCTGGGGCCTGGAGAGGAAGACTGCCCAGCTCCACGGAGGCTGCACGGCCTGAAGCCACCAGCTGATCACCAGCTCTACCTGGCCCCCCCGCCCTCACCACCTCTCCCAGGTGGGCCAAAATCACAGGCTGAACATCCAAACAGCCCATTCATGGGGGTGGGGAACGTGCTTGTCAAGACAACCCAGTCATTAAAGCCCAAGGTCCTTGGTCTCCCTTGGAAAGCAGAGCGGAACATCTGAGGGAAGCGGTCTCTCTCCTCTCCAGGTCCTGCGGGCATGAAGGGAGAAATGGGAAACCAGGGCCTGGTAGGCCCCCAGGGTCCACCGGGACTGAAAGGCCAAAAGGGAGAGCAGGGAGCGAAAGGTAAGGCCTCAATCTGTGATTTGTGGGGTCTGAGGAGAGGCCCTGTTGTAAGGGGTTTGGGAGTTTTCGGAACCAGAGGTATAGAGGTTTATTGGCTCCCTGGACAAGTTCCATGCTGGGCTTGCCCTCAGCCCTGAGCACACGGAAGTGAGTGAGGCACAGCCTGGGCACCCAGAGGGGCAGACACGCGACCGTGTGCTTGCACGATACCCGGCCACGCCCTGGCCCCCAGAGCTTTCCACAAAGGAGATGCATCCCACTGTCTGTCTCTTACCTGTTCAATGCTCCTCACTAAGCTAACTTAAATCCTTCCTGCTGTAGGGTAAGCCTATTTCATCTTGCTCAACCAGTGGTGCTCGTGGTATATCTAGTCCCCAGGAAGCCAGGTCACTGGCAAAGCTGGAGGAGAGAATCTGCCCTCCCCACCCCCACCCTCGTCCCTGCTGCTAGCAAAGAAGGGTGAAGGGGTCCTGGCTTGGTTTCCTTTATATTGTGTGTGTTCTTTTTTTTTTTTTTTTTTGGCAGGATCTTCTGGAGCGCAGGGAATACGGGGAGAAAAAGGTAATTATTAATTATTATTAATTCTGTTCTCTTTAATTGGTGCCTTCGAGAGAACTCTGTACTTGAAAACTGTAGGTGTGGTAGAGGAGAGACCCTTGTTCTCAGAGAGATTCCTCATTTTGGGAAAAGCTAGCAGACTCATCCTTTGACTAAGCCTCCCCAGGACGACATAGAACCACAACACAACTGTTTAGCTCCCCTCCCCCACTTCCTTCACTTTCTCTCTTCTTCCCTCCCTCCCTCCCCTCCTTCCCTTTCTCCCTCCCTCCCTTCTTTCCCTCCTGCCATTTCCCCCTCAACGTTTCCTTTCCTTCTCGCCACAAGACAAGGCAAGATGCAGCCAGCTGGAGAGGCAGGACCAGCCGCAGGTGGATGGAGGCTGCTCGCCCGGTTGTGTTGGTGTCACATGCGGGGTGTTCCCGGCTCTGGTGATGGCGGAGCAGGAGGATTCCCCCTGCCCCTGAATAACAGAACTTCCAACAATGAAAAGGCAGAGCCTGCATCCACACAAAGCCCGAGGCTGCTCTCTTCACCTCTCCCACGTATGTCTTTCACCCAGGTGAACCCGGACTCAGTTATCCGGTGCAGATGGTCAGGATCATCGGCACTAGGAACCGAGGCCGGGCTGAAGTTTACCATAACAATGTCTGGGGGACCATCTGTGATGATGACTGGGACAATTCAGATGCCACTGTCTTCTGCCGCATGCTGGGCTACTCCAGGGGAATAGCCCTTACCAATGTAACACCTGGTGAGTGGGTCCTCGGCCAGGAGCCTCTTTCCTGGAAGTTTTCCCTTTGGTTGCAAGTGACCCAGTGAGTTTGGGTTAAAGAAAAGGATTGGCTTAAGCAACTGAAAAGTGCTGCTGCTCAGTGCCTTCCAGGCTGGCCACCCCAGGACAAAGAGGACCTGGACAGCAAAGGCTTGGCTGGGGCTCTGGCTGACCTGGCTTGGTCACTGTCTGTGCAGCCCGGGAAGCCAGATTGCTCCATGGCCAAGGGTGTTGGTGAGCCGTGGCTCTCTGAACGACAGCAAGGTGCTGGTCATGGCAGAACAGAAAAGTTGCAGGGTAGGCAAACACAAGTGCTCATCTCAGCTATCTGGAAACTAGAAGCCAGGAATGGCCATGCTGTGATCATCCTCAAGGAGAAAGTACAAAGGGAAAAGAAAACAAATCAGAGCAGGGACTTCCTAAAATAAGTTTTGGAAAGATATCCCAGGGTGCTAGAGACTTGGCCTATCTCTTTCAGCAAAAGGTTCAAACTTTCAATAAAGTAGTTAAGTCCCCAGGCTGAGACCATTTCTTTGGCCACAAGAGTTGACCTGGCAGGGACACTAGGCCACCTTCTCCTGCCCCCACCCCCAAACACTCTCTGCCTTTCCTCCACCCTACGGTGCCTACTTGCTTTTTAACCTGAGTTCCATATGGATTATAAAACTCCTTTAAAGTATGTGTTTTCCTCATATAGATTACACTTAATGTAGATCGCTACACTGTAAACTGTGTAAAAGTGTAAATTACTGTAACCAAATACAGATCTTCCTGAGTTTATGATAGGGTTACATCTCAATAAGCCCATAGTAATTTGAAAACATTGTGTCAAAAATGCATCTAATACATGTCACCTACCAAACATCACAGTTTAGCCTCGTCTGCCTTAAGGGTGCTCAGAACACCTACACTGGCCCACAGTTAGAAAAAATCATCTAACATAAAGCCTACTTATAATAAAGTGTCGACCAGCCCATGTCATTGATTGAATACTGTACTGAAAGTGACAAACAGCATGGTGGTCTGGGTACGAACGGTTGTACTCGTATCGTATATTGGTTGTTTGCTCTCATGATCACCTGACTGACTAGGAGCTTCTGCTACCCAGCATCACAAGAGAGCATCGTCCCACATATCCCTAGCCTGGGAAAAGACCACAGTTCAAAATCCCAAGTATGATTGCACCATCATTAAGTTGGAAAATCATAAATCAAACCATCGTAAGTCAGGACTGTCAGTCATCCTGCTGTTTTCCTCCGTGCTGTTGATCTGAAATCAATTATATCCAAAGGAGGGGATTTGGAAGAATGTGTGAATGTTTTTGAGCCAGAGAACGGCCTGGTTCAAAGGGCATTTGAGGAAAGTGGGTACAACAGCAGGGACTAAGCAGGAAAGAGACAAACACTGGGAGGCCCCCAGGAAGAAATTTCAAACAGAGCACAGATTAAGTATTAATAATTAATAATAGAGTATATATCTTTATCTTAATCTATCTCACCTAATCTTTGGATGAGACTTTTGTTAAAGGGCAGAAAGCAGGAGGGAGGCAGAGTCATGGCAGGAGAGCCCGAGGGGCTGCGAGGGAAATTGGTAGCCTACCCCAAATGCAAGTTTGGCCCTAATCCTGCTCTCCTCTATCTCCCTGCTTTCCCTATATCCAGGCAGTGGGGAAATCTGGCTGGATGACGTTGCCTGTCGAGGGACAGAGACGAGCCTCTGGAGTTGCCAAAAAAGCAACTGGGGCTCTCACAACTGCAACCACAATGAGGATGCTGGCGTGGAATGCAGATGACCTCCCACAGCCCCTCCACCGTGCTGTGCCCAAAGTGTCTGCAGACATGGACACTCAACTTCTCTGGGGGAGGGCCAACACTCTCTGAGGGGTCACTCTGGGCTGGGGCCACTAATAAAGCTCAAAGCACGACCTGGTAATGTCTTCTGCTGTGGCTGAAATCACTAGTTCATACCTCCCGTCCCTTATCGATGAGCCCACTCAAGGGACACATTTCACTGAGTTCTCACAGGGGGACAGTGAAGTCTCAACATATAGCCAGGGGGAGGGTGTGCTCGAGGGGGACCTGAATGCGACGTGGAAAGTGAAGAGTGCCTGTAGTCAAAACGAGGCATGCCCGTTCCCTCCCCTTAAGCTCCCTCACTGGAGCTGTTCGCCAGCAAATGGGGAGGTGGGCACGCAGCTGACACCATGTTGCATGAAAAACAGGAACTGTGCCTTTAAGCATGAAAATTAGTTTTCTTAGGATGTGAGCTCCATAAATGAGAGGACTGTTGTCTGTTTTATTCACCCATGTAGGGGCTCAGTAAACATGTATTTAATGAATGACCGAATTAAACCAAGAAGGTAGAGCAGCTCATGTTCTGAGCAACTTGGCTCCCCCCTCCCTTTTCAGGCTTCCTCTGGGTTCTAAACTTTCTGAGTGCAATCTCACGTGCGCGCTCTCTCTCTTTCTCTCTCTCTCTCTCTCTCTCCCTCTCTCTGAACATCTAGTCTCTTCCCTGCACTGCACAACACCAACCACCTCTTCATTCTCCAGGCAACCTCCTAAGAGATCTTTAGAAATGACAAAGAAACCACCATACTGATCCCTGCCTAAAGCCTTCAATGGCTCCTCCTTCCCCGAGGCAGTGGGCCACACTCATCACCTGGCTTGCAAGGCAATGCCCCTGACAGTCGACCCCACACTTCCCTCCCGTAACCTTGATGCTTCGTTTCCTCTCTATGTTACTCCAGTATCTCCCACACATCACACGACAGGCTCTTGCTGTTTTCTGATTGATTCTCTGAATAAATGGAAGGAAGGAAGGAAGGAAGGAAGGAAGGAAGGAAGGAAGGAAGGAATGCTAAGCAGAGCACTCTGCTTTTCTGCACTGGGATTGCTTCATAGTCTTCCCGCAGCTGGAGGGCAGGTCCTGGTGTATCATACTCTAATTATTGTGACTAAGGACCCCCCACTCAAACAGTTTCCCAGGAACGAAGGAATGGTTTTCTCCAAAGGTGAATCTACTCTTCGGTCTTTTATATTTTATAAGGTTGGCTTTCAAAACAAATTCATGGAGCCCATGATGTACTAGGAGTATTGTAAAATTTTTTTTTTAAAGATTTTATTTATTTATTTATTTGAGAGAGAGAGAGAATGAGAGACAGCACGAGAGGAAAGAGGGCAGAGGGGGAAGCAGACCCCCCGCTGAGCAGGGAGCCCGATGCGGGACTCAATCCCGGGACTCCAGGATCATGACCTGAGCCGAAGGCAGTCGCTTAACCAACTGAGCCACTCAGGCGCCCGAGTATTGTAAATTTTAAAAGTTCATCTCTTCCTGCTGCCTCAACATGCCCACAAACACGCTGTGAGCACCCAGTCCCCTTCCTACCTCCCATGACTGTGAACTAGTGCTGGTCAAACACCAAAGGGCACCAAGGAAATCCCCTTGTGTCCTTTGCCTGTGTACCTACCCAGCCCCCAGGTAAAGGCCTTTACCCATGGGTTCCTCATGGTCCCTTAGCTCCCCACCTTCGTGGCTGAGCCTGGTCCCTTGGCGCTCTTCCCACGTGGTCCCCCCTCTTGTCCTGCAGTGACTCTGTCTCTCTAGGACCTGTGAGTTTAATAAACTTTGTTTTCCTGCACCTCTCCTGTGTCCCCTCTTGTGGCAGCCCCTGAGTGACCATCCCCTAAAAGGAGAGGGAACAGTAGAGCATCACATGATATGTGATATTATTCCCATCCTCTAAATGAGCCAACAGAGTCGCAGTGAGGTTAAGTGATGCGAGATTGTGGCTCCAATTCATCACCCTTCTGTCCGTGGCCTTCACAGTGTGACTTCCCAGCTCATCATCAGAAGCCTGGTCTGTTGCTCGTTCACTCTCTGGGCATTCCTGGCACATTATGAAGATTAGTGCGTGCTAGCCCACTGCGGGAAAAGTGAGCATGTGGAGCAGGGTCCTGTTACCCCGGCTGAGGCCATCCTTCATCAGCCAGCCTCTAGCTGACCACAGTCCCAGTAGGGAGTTCAGCCAAGGCTGCTCAAGGAGGAGGAGGAGGAGGAGCTAACTGTCCAACCAACCCACGAACTCATGAGCAATCACAGTTGGTTGTGGGTTAAAGCCACTAAGTTTGGGGTGTGGTTTGTTATATAGCAAAAACCACCTAATAAAATGAACTTGACTAAGGACCCACAGCCGGTAAGAAGCAGAGAGGGATTTGAACCCAGGTCTGTCTGACACCATTAAGATTAAGAGACAAAGGAGAGTTGCTGCCCCTTGCACATCTGCTCAGGCAGCTCCTCTCATAAGCTCTGAGGCCAAGCCAAGCTGAGAAAACTTCCCTTCCAGAACCACGGGCAGAAGGAGGGTGGGCACGGCACGTGGCCGCAGTGTGGGCACGCTGGGTCTGTGGCTGATGGGCGGCTGATTGTGGGGCCGAAAGGAACTGGGTAAAATTAGCATGACGCATCTTCAACAGCCAGAGAGCAGACTGGGGTGGGGCTGGCGCCGCGGAATGTTCCGCATGACCTCCTAACCTCTGTGAGACACTGCAGTTCACTTGAAGTAGTTCTCCTCCTGCTTCCCCTTCCCCTGGCTGAGGCCCACAGGACAGACACCAGCATGAGGCAAGTCGGGCTGAGCAGGACAGAGACGGCAGGTGCTCCAAGAACCCTGCGAGCACAAAGGCCTTGTCACTTCCTGCCCAGCAGGGCAAGCCCAGAGAGCTTCCTGGCACCCAGCTAGAGAGACGCAGCTAAGAGCGCAGGTTCTGGAGCCAGACTGCCCCAGAACAGGCTTCTACCTGGACAGTCAAGGTGTTGAAACTCTCTGGGTTCCTTGTCTATAAAATACAGTAACAATTGCTCCCTCTCAGAGTTCTTGTGAGGGTTAATTGAAATCGTAAGTCAAAAGAAAGCATTTAACAGGGTGCCTGGCACCTGGTGAATGCACAGTGTTCGTTACTACTATCCTTGAAGACCCTCCACAGCCCACCCCTTGCCCCAGCACTGCCCTGCTGGGCCCTGTGCCCCAGCAGGCAGGTTTTCTTGGGGATCTCCCATCCGCACCAGGCTTGGGGGTAGGACACACTAGGATGGGGCGTCCAGGGCCCCACACAGATGGAGCTGGCAGTGGGTCAGGCTTACTGGGGCTCAGGCTTGTGAAAGACAAAAGGTAGGAGCAGGATGGGGCATGTGAGCCTCAGACCTGCTTGTCTACATGACTCTACAGGGAAATGTGGAGTGAAGACTGCCCCCCAGAGGCGGCTCATGCTGGGCAGGAATAGCCAAGCCCTAGACCTTCCCCCCTTCCCCCTGCCCCCTTCTGACGCTGGCCAGGCTGCCCTGGAAGTGCTAGACCTTGACCCGGAAGCACGCAGCCTTGACCCGGAAGCAGAGGTGAACAACGAAGCGCCACCTCGGGGCTAGCACCTTTGTGCTCCCGCAGCTCAAGGGCAGGTTCTCTTGAAGTCGGAGACCTAGGAGGCCTCTGTGCCTGCGGAAGATGGTTTGGGGGAAAGAGTATGGGATTTCGGATCAGATTCAAATTCCAGCACCAATGACCAATTGTGTGGCTCTGGGGAAGTCACATAACCTGTCTGAGTTTCTGCTTTTCCATCTGTAAAGGGGGGGAATAATGATGATGATGATAAAAATAGTAATAATATACTGGCTCGTGTGGATTCATGGCTGTGCTCTTGGCACTTACTGGGAACTGAATAACAGCAGCATTTACTAGGACAGCTTGACCCCAAGCTTCCATTCTAACTTACATGGCTCCACACCCAGAATATCTTCCCTTCTTCCACCCACCATGCCAGAATCCTTTCCACCCTTTATGGCCCAGTTCACATTGCACCTCCTTTAAGAAACCTTTTCTGGTGGTTCTCACTCCAGAGAAAGCTTTCCTTTCTCCCACTCCCAATAGCCCATCCGTGTAAGGAAGGAAAAATCAGCACAGAATCCAAGATTTTCTGAGGGCTGACTGTGGTATGCACCATGCTAGATGCATTCTACTTTTGTGCTGGTTACCCTGATCTTAGTTATTCTTCACAGCAACACTGAGTAGAATGTTTCCTTATTATCTCCATTTTATAGATGGGAAAACTGAGGATGGGAGAAATAAAATGACTTTTCTTTGGTCATTAAAACTCATCTCCAGGTCTTCTAGCTCTGAATACTTTTTCCTTTGCACCATGCTGGACTCAAGAAGAATTCAGAAAATGTGTATTGTTGCAACATAGGAATTGGCATTAAAATCATATGCAAACGACACTCCCCTGATAGGGATGTTCTAAGTCTTTGGGCCTGAGGAGAGGATCAGAACTCAAGGAATTTGTTCATTTAAAAGCTCTTCCGTTCCCCTTTGTGGCAAAGTAATCAGAGGCAAATAAGATCAAATCCAGGAATATAAGCCGTCAATTCACAAAAGAGAGACCATAGGCCAATAAACATTTTTTTTTTTTTTAAAGTTCATCCTTACAGGGGCGTCTGGGTGGCTCAGTCGTTAAGCGTCTGCCTTCGGCTCAGGTCATGATCTCAGGGTCCTGGGATCGAGCCCCACATCGGGCTCCCTGCTTGGTGGGAAGCCTGCTTCTCCCTCTCCCACTCCCCCTGCTTGTGTTCCCTCTCTCGCTGTGTCTCTCTCTGTCAAATAAATAAATAAAATCTTAAAAAAAATAAAATAAAAAATAAAGTTCATCCTTACCTTCAATAAAAGAAATGCAAAAAAAAGTGAGGTCATTTATTTGCATGTCAAATTGGCAATTAAAAAAAATCCTTGGTGGGGGTACCTGGGTGGCTCAGTTGGTTAAGTGACTGCCTTCGGCTCAGGTCATGATCCTGGAGTCCCAGGATCGAGTCCCACATCAGGCTTCCTGCTCAGCAGGGAGTCTGCTTCTCCCTCTGACCCTCCTCCCTCTCATGCTCTCTGTCTC